TTTTTCCGAAAAGTAAGTTTTTTTTGTCTGATTTCGTTACTTAAAATATCGTTTGCACTAATTAATTAGCACATTTGAAGTCACCCCCTTGAACTATTTAGATTGAGTCCTAAAACTTGAAGATCCGATCATTAGATCAAAAGTTATTCAGGATGGTCCGCTTTTTATTTCGCGCAGTGTGCATTTCTGCATAGTGAATTTCAAGCACTGAAACTTATTAATAAATTATATATTGCTTATGCTGCACGTACCGATGTGCAACATATGCAATAAATTCAAAACATAAGTCTGAGTTAATTCTTTACAAAATATGTTTTCTAAACTTTTTTAGATTAGACTTCAAGAGTTTGATTACTGTGTTTTTGTTATGGAATTTCTGTCATTAGATCGTATAAAGAAATTTAAAAAAAAATGTCTATAAAAATTGGTATCTTTGAGATAACTTTAAAAAGCTACGATTAAAAAATAAGTTGCGCGCCTTTATAATTGCGACTTTGAGCGGTGAAATATTTTCATGGAATTTTCGTGCTCCACAGAATTAGGGAAGCACATGCAATTAATTCAAAGCCTTAAGTAAGAGTTTCTTTTTTTGAAACATGTTTTTCAATCATTATTTTTCAAACTTTCTTAGACTAGACATTAGGAGTTTGATTACTATCTATTCGCTAGAGTTGCAATTACTGAAATGTATCTACAAAAAATAAATGTATATAAACGTTATTATCTTTAAGACTTTAAAAAGCTACGATTAAAAAATATGTCGTGCGATGGCTCATTATTTACGACTTGAACCACTAAAATATTTTCGTGAATTTTTCGTGTTTAGTGGAATTACATTTTAATGTGCAGAACATGAAATCAATTGTAAGTCGAAGTTATAGTTGATTGTTTTAGAAATGGTGAGTTTTTACGGGCACTCGCGAAATTTCTTACTGTTTCTTCATTAATGTCAAAATGAACAGATTGGTTCAAAAACTTTTTCTAATCACCCTTAATTTAAGTAAAAAAATAATTTATTTCTTTACTATTACGTAACTATTCGCCTCTATTTTGAATGATTTTATGGTGCTTAGTACTGTATAATGACTATGCATGCGTGGTTGTACCCTCCGTATATTCTTTAAGATAAGAGCCCTCTAAGATTGAATATTTTGTATGTAGTTTTACTTTTTTTATTAAAACTTTTGGTGAAAACCCTATTTTATAACAGTATGTTGGAGGGGGGAGGGGAGCAAATAATATTTTTTTTCTTCAAAACTCAGTATGTTTGATTCTAAACTCTGAATCATTAACTGATGATGTAATGACTACAACTAATATTAAAACTAATAGTTGAATGCAGTTAGACTTGAAAATAACCACTCGCCACGAGGCAAGTCAACAAAAGAAGTGGCGACTTAAATTAAATAAATAATTGGCACTTTTTCCCATCGTTTTCTTTCTTTTTTTATAAATTGTTTGATGTTAAAAGTATAGAAAACATCAGTGCAGAAAGACTTTGGAAATCAGAATTTTCATTAAAATGTCGTATGTCTCTATTTGAAGTTTTATTTCGTAAAGAATCCATCAATTTGTGACAAAAAAATTCATGTGGAAGGAGAGACGTTAACAATTGACAACTTTAACAATTCGCATTTACATTAAACGTAGTTTGCCTCCTTAAATAGTTTTAAGTAAAGTTGTTTAAAGTCAGTATGTTTAACTAAATTTTATCATATATTTATATGAAAAATTCGTCATATATTTATATTATTGAATCAACTTTTTATTAGTCGATTAATCATTATAAAATGAGTTTTTTTAAAAAAAAAATCAATCCAAGAATTAACAACAAAAAAAAAGAAGCTAAAAAACGGCGATAAATGAAAACAAATTATATATATTGGTCACAAATTCTTCAGGTTTAAGTAATAAGTGGCTACTAAGTTTTAAGAGTCTACAGACCACTGGCTACAAACTGAAAATTTCAAGTTTAAATGTAACGAACCATTCCAATCAAATTTTTTAGCCTTTGACTTCGTGGGCTATGCTTCTGAAACGTTTATGAATTACGTGGTTGAAACTGCACAACTAGTTATAATTATAATACACTTCTTGGTACAAATTGGACAAGAATTACGAACTATGCTTTTTCTAATGTTTGTAGAAAACAAAATGATTAGTTTTACTGGACTCTTTCAGATGCCAGATTCTTTTAGATTAGATTGTGATTCATACACAATGGTTTTATGTGTAATCTAAATACCAAGTTCAATTGACACATTCACTATGCGTGACGAATATGTTTTTTATTAAAGTAAAATAGAAGCTAATGTCTTTCAAAACGCTACATAAAAATAAATTACAATACATCATTCAAACTTGTTTTTTGTTAGGTGCGTAAATAGGGTCCTGCAACCTTTTTTATACGAGTTCTGAAAGGTGAATCTTCAATTGTGGTTTTCGCGAGTCTATATATTACTCATTTAAATGCCCTTCTTTCAACATAGAATGAGATAATAAAGAAGTTTCAAGGGCACTTGATTTTCGCAAGATTGCTTAACCACATCACTGCATAAACATTCACCACACACCTGTTATTCAAATCGTAAATCTCTTTGGATTAAACGTCTCTAGAATTTGAATTGAATTGTACCCGTGTCCCTTTACGGGGAATAATTTTTGACAAATGTCAATTAAGATCTTAGTCAAATTAATGTTATTTGTTCATGACTAACAACTGTAGTATTGTTACGTCATATTTTACAATTAGAGTTTGAAATCTAGTGAATGTCGGCCTTTACATAGCCATAATATCCAAAACATTAATTTTCAGTTAATGTTAAATCTCAACATTGTGAGAATCTAGGATAATTAAGAAATATTTAGAATATTCAGCAAATGTGACTACATGAATGTTGACATTCGTTAATTTTGAATTTTCAGTGCTATATATATATATATATATATATAACATTTGAATGTCTATCTTTTTATGAAGAATAAGATAACGAGTTTTAAGAACACACGTATTGATTGAAACGTATAATAATAATACAATATATTGTAATGAGCTTGAAATTATAAAAAGTTGCTTAAATATGTGTTCAATTATGCAATTGTTTAGACGTAAATTTAAAAAAACAATTATTCTAAATATAACGATTTCACATTTAAAAAAATGTAAAATAGTTATATTTATAAATATATATATACACAGTTGGCACTTACCTATCGTCTCACCGACCATTTTCGCCAAATCTGAGAACGAATTCGGACGTGGTTCAAATTCAAATACTTTCTCATTTTTTGCATGTAGTAAGTTATATTTGTATTTTGTCTATTTCTTTATGATTATCTGCTATGTAAAAATAAATTTGAAGATACCAAAATGATTTAGGCGTAGTGTTGGCGAAAATGGTGGGCTGAATGATACGTAGATACATTTTTCTAAAGGTAGAATAAAAAATATTTGCTTAATTTGTCCCTAGATGTGAATTTTTTTTTTAAATCTAAGAATAATCACTTCTTGTAGGGAATTTAGGATAATGCAAAAAAAAAAAAATAAATAATAATAATTAATAAAAAGATTAATCTTTATTTTAAGATGATGAGGCGAGAGAATCTCTTTAGTTCATAAATGGTTCAACTTCGAAATCAATTTTTTCAGACTTAGTTCTCTATTATCGATGCTAATTTGAAATATTTATTAGTTAGAAAATAAAACTTACTTTATATTGATGCATACTTTCTATTGTCTGTATTAAATTTTAATTGTTTATTCCAGGAGCGGTAAACTACTTAAAGGCGATGAACTTTTAATTGTAAATGGACAAAAGTTACAAGGAGTTAGTTTAGAACAAGCAAGGCGACTGCTACGTGTACCTGAAGAAGAAATGCATTTACTTTTAGCGCGAGAGGTACGTTCTTCTATTTAATTCTTGAATAGGTTGAAATAATTATTTTACGATAGTTTACTTGCTGTGGTATGGTGATTTGTCGGGTTTTGAAAATGTCTTCGTTTTATCCTTGTTTAAATATGTATGTGTACCTTTCTGAATTTACTTTTGACAATATAATTAGTTGGCCACTAAGTTCCCGTCGAATCTTATAAAAAAAATCTTTAGAAGTTAATGGTTTGGAAGCATAGCGTTTTTTTTTTGTTTTGTTGCCAGGTCCCTTGTTTGAGCTTGAATTTTAGTGCAACACTTCGTTTAATTCCTCTTCATCGAAGTCGTCTGGCCGACCAAAATAAACTTCGATTTTTAAATTTGGCATATCAATCACGAGCTGTTCTTTCATCAATGCCACGAGCATCTTAGGCGAACTTAACCTTGATTAAAAACAAAAAAGATGTCAAAAATGCTCGTTTTTTTTTTCATTTTAATGATCTTAAAATTAACATAGATTAACTCAAAACATCTTTTGAATGATTATCGGAAACACTATGACATAATCATTTAATGACATGTGAAATGTTAAAATTATAAAAAAAATAAGCAAACGAACGGCGAACGGTGGGAATTTAGTTGCCTACCCAATATTAGGTTGTTGTTGTAGTTCATTTACGTCGCAGTAGAGCTGCACAATGAGCTATTGGCGACGTCTGGGAAACATCCCTGAGGATGATCCGAAGACATGCCATCACAATTTTGATCCTCTGCAGAGGGGATCCCAATATTAGGACAGTCGTTTTAGAATATTGTGTGCTTATACATTTTCCTGATTGAAAAGTTATTTTTGCACGCAAAAAAAGTATTACTTTTTATCGATCCATAATACTTGATCCCAATTAAGGGTCATATCAGCAACTTCTGGCATGAACCTGCTATCTTTTCTCCCTAATATCTTATTTCTATTTGCAGGTTAAGCTTAAATGTACCTTAAGTTTTCTTTAACTTGCTAGTGGAAATAAGGTTTTAGAGAGAAAAGCTATCAGGATCATGCTCAAATTTGCTTAAGAGCTTTAACGTTCAAAAACAAATGGCTAACAAGCTCTTGATTGGTAATAAGTACTATGAGTAAATACATAAACAAGTATCCATGTTAGAAGCATCCCAGTCATGTTTTTTCTCTCTCTTTATTAGTATTGTCATATTGTTAACTACACTCTTATTTTTAAAATCTATTTACTCATTCAGGGGTGCTTGTGAACTCAAGTCAAAATTCCGGAAAATTTCTTGAGTTTAAAAAAAAAAACAGTTTAAATTGAAAAAAATTTCAACAAGGTTTTTTTTCCCTTTTTCTCGATATTTCTTAGTTTACTTAAAATATATATAAAATTTTACATACGCCTATACCATTTACACATACCTATGATGACCTGGAGAAGTAATTAAAATTTACAAATATGTTTTTCTTTCTTGAGTTTATGATTATAATAACGATTTATTGATAAAAAAATGAATATAAGCTTATAAAGTAGCTGGCTCTCCTAATAAAATAGTGTTTTTAAGTTCCACGTTTGAAAATTTAATATCCGGAAACTTCTGTGATCAATGATTTTTTTAAACGTCTGGACCTTCGATCTCCGGAAAATTCCGGATCATTGTTAGCGAAAAATTTGGAAATCCGGATTTTTTCTGGAGCACAATCAGCCCTGCTCATTGTTCGTGTTTGGCACAGTATAGCTGTTTCAGACTGCCCTTATGCTTATTGATAATCAAGAAATATAATTTTTTTCAAGTTTCATTCGAAGATTATTCTTTTTAAGCTCTGATTATAGTAATTTTGAAGTCTGCTCGCAATGACCTTCATTTAGAAAAAATAGAGTTTAAAGAAAATGGAGAGTAGTTAGTGATCTAGTTTTTTAATGATCTGTTTGTATTCGCAAAAAACTGCAATAATTGAATGAAATTATTCGTTGATAAGTTTATGTAGGTCATAAATTATGGTTATTTTTTTTAAAGTTATGTAATTTTTTAAAACTATTTTGTCTGTTTTAAATTCTAGACAATTTTTTTGAGCAAAATAGTACATTTAGTTTCAAAAATTAAACTGTAACTTATTTTCTTTGACAAAATTAATTTCTTGATAAATTTTGAATTCTTTTTTTTTTTTAATCAATTTAAAAGTTCTCATTTATGTTGTTAAGTAATAGTAATAATTTTCATATAGAATGAAGATGACCAACATGTTATTTCTGTTCAAATTGTGAAATTTTCTTAATGTAGTTTTTGCAAAATTTAATAGCTTGAGAATTTTAAATATGATTATGTATATGTTGTAGGCTAATTGAAAAATCTGGCTCTTTGCAAATGCGCTAAAAAATGTGTAGTGAAAAACTCTACTTTTCTAACAGAATTTCAGAAAAAAAAATTATTTTACATTTTATAACTTATATACACTAATTAAAAATCTGACAGTTAGCAAATGTTGCTGGTATTTTGCAATGCGTCACAATAATTTGCTAATTTGTCTGATATATTTTAGGCTAAGTAGAAAATGTGCCAAGAGTTCAGACTGAATTTACTTACACTTAGGGCAATAAATCTACAATGAGCTTTCTCTGGGCTTATCACAATTCTTTGCTACAGAAAGTATAGTTTGTCTATATAAAGAACTCTTCTAGCCATTCGTCTGGAGCAGTTGCGGTGACTATGGTTACAAGGATGAACTATTTCAAGAATAGATTATTTAGATTAGATAGATATATAGATCAAGATAGTTGGGTCTTTATTTAAGACAGGTTTTGGCGAGAGAAAGGGTAATGCTCTATTTCTTGTTTCCATAGCAGCAGATGGCTCTTTCTATGGATAAACTATACCATGACTCTTCCAAATAAAATACTGTGTTAGCAATTTATATGTTTTAAGATCTCATATTCATCTCTAAATTTTCTTAATATTTACAGCTTACTGAAGACCTCTGCTTTAAAGAAGATTCCTCAAGACTTCAAGCAACTCTACCACCAGTGCCAGAACTACACGAGTCACACAACGTACAATCTTCCAATGCCATTCCAAGGCTAAGGCATTGGCAGTCAGATGCTGGGAAGTATTGCTCAGGCGATAATAGGCATTCTAATCCAGATTTACCTCCAAAGCCAAAGATAGACAATGAACGCGTATGTATAATATTGAGACTTAATTATCAATTTACTTCATCCTAATTCTTTTTTTATTTATTTCTATTTGAACCCCACATATACAATGTGTCTTAATATATACACATATATGTAGCGAAAGCAGAAAGCGTATTTTTTCTTAAAAAATCTGAAGCAAATTGAAAACTTGTTTATTGAATATGTTACCGTAACTGATCAAAATCAAGAGAATGTCGACTTTCACCAGTGAATGTCAACAATCACATAGTCACTTTGGTGAATGTCTGAAATATTTGATATTAATTTATTCATTAATATTATATTTATTCGATATTTTAAATATCTGCTGAGGATAGATTAGGAAAAACATCAGTGCAGTGTTCAGAGTACTGGTAAAATGCATACTGGGCAGTGGCACTTGACCTTAAACATTGATGTAGGGCATACCAACCAGTGGCACTTACTAGACATATTATATATTTCGGACATTTACCAAAGCGACTGTGACAGTCAACATTCACAGGTGGAAGTCAACAATCATCAATTTTGGTCATTCACAGTAACATATTAGTTAACATGGAAAAAATTCTGAAACATTAAAACATGTATAATGTACACAAGAACTTTTGATCTAATAATCAAATTTTTGCATGTTACCTTAATGGTTAGAGGAGAATACTTTAATGATTAATAAGCTATACAATTAATACAGACTGTATTTAAAGTAACAATTTTTGATAAGACTTTTAAACATGCATAGTGAAAATATAAATGTATGCAAGTTTACTTATAAATATATATGTTTTAGTTACAATTTTTGACTAGACTTTTAGACAGATGTGAATTTTAAAAAATCCAAGTTGTAAATATCAGGAAAATATGTTCCTAAATTGGTATAGAGAGTTTAAAAAGTTAGAGACCCATAATATCAAAATGCAAACTATCTATCAACAATTACGTTCTTTTTAAGTGTAGAAATACAATAGCAAAAACCAAAGCAAACAATCTCGTGCAGTGAATTCCTGTTTTTATCTTTGTTCGATAAATACGCAAGGTATCCTCATAGCTTTTACTTATATCCTAGTTCTACCTTTTGGGTTTGTGACAGACATAGTTTTTAGAACCATACGTAATTTTATTGCCTAGAGCATAAGTTTCGTTTGCAGCATACCATTAGCGATAAATAGTTATCTTGAATCAAATGAGGAACAAATTTTTTTTATTCTCCAAAATTGTGCATTAGAATAAAATGCATATACTGCCTTAAAATATTATTTTTTATTTAAAGATTTATTGTCTAATTACTATGTATGTAAATATTTATTTAGTTTAATAGTTATTGTACATAAAACTGACCACATTTAAGACAGTTTTCTAAGAATTACTAGTTATTCTATGTTATAAATTTGACATGTTTTCAAGCAATATTGCATTATTTAATGAACTTACATTTCCTATTTTAATTTCACAGATGGGCAGTAATGGTATCTGCACATTGCCTAGGCGGCCTAAATCCTCCCAACTTTCGCTACATACAGTAGTATTTGAGAAAGGACCAGGCCGCAAAAGTTTAGGATTCAGTATTGTTGGTGGTAAAGATTCTCCAAAAGGCGAACTTGGTTTCTATGTAAAAACTATCTTTACAAATGGCCAGGCAGCTGAAACTGGATCTCTTAGAGAAGGTACGAATTTTCATTATTAATCTTAAAATACTTATTTTGTTTACCCTTTATTATAATTATAAAGGTTAGGTGGATGAAGGTGTAAATTTGCCTTGTTTTCATGTCATCCATTAAGTATACATCTGGGCATTGTTTAATTTGGGTTTCAGGGACTTCGTAACCAACCTTTCAAAATCTGTTCCAGGAATAAAACTGACATTTTAAGTTGAAAAAGTAGTTTGTATAAGAAATAAACGAAGAAAGCAGTCTTAAATCCAAATTTCCACACAGTTGTTTTCAAAACACCCTTTTTTATATTACATCATTCTTCACACTCTGGAATTTTAATACATGTACATAGCTGCCAACTCTACTGGATTTTGCCAGTTTCTCTTAGTTTCATAAGAAAATTACCTAAAATTGGGTAAGCTTCCTTAAAAAATCCCTGTTGAAATAGAAATTTTTTTGCAGATTATTGCTTGCTTGAATATTTAAATAAGTGTTACTTATACATAATGAAGCAAGCCTCATTTTTAAATATTAGTTTAAAAGTTTTTTTGTTCTAAAATGTAAAGTTTATTTTAATTCAGAGCTTTCTTTTTAAAATAATTAAAAAATATTTTAACTATCTTTGATGAATTAAATACCTATTATTATTCAAAATTGTCAGTAAACCTTATACATAACATTTCAAGTTCATTTAATGTCAATCATAACTGGAAAATATTGCAGTTTTTCTATTTTGATGACTACAAAAATTCCTTATGTGTAAAATATTTAGTAAATTTTTTGACAATTATGAAATTTATATTATTTCGCAAAATCTACAGGATTTCTTCCTATCATGTTGGCAGCTATGCATGTATTTGAGTAACAATTTTATGACACAACATTACAATGTATATTTACTCAATTCATTCCATCATTTATACACTTGGTTTTGCAACTATTATTGCTTTTTTCAATTAACTTCTAATCTGGGTAATCAGGGAATGAATTTAAGCATCTTTCTATATAAACTTAATTAACCGAATATATATGTCATTTAAAGCAGTAAATAAAGATGTAAAGGTCGTTAAAATCACTCATTTCAAAATTTTATTCTTTATTTTATGCATCCTTCATCCACTGCCAATTTGAAACTTTGTTTTATAAAATGTCAAACTGGTACACCTTCATATATATGTGAAATAAAATTTAGATTTAAATTTTTTTTATGACAAATATTTATAAAGAACAATACAAGATTGCTACATTTTTAAATTATCAGAACAATTAGTTAAGGTTTATTTGAAAGTTGTCAAGCCAAGGGAAGAATTATTGTATTTATAAACTTTTGTAACAAGATCAGGGTGCGCAGCCAGTTTTTTCAACAAAAAATAAATATTTTTTATCACTTTCCAAAAAAATAAATAAATAAATAAATCATAATTAGGATCTGTGCAGGAATAAAAATTACTTTTTTTCTATAGTTTAATGTTCTTAATTTATCAAAACATTAAATCAATAAAATTCAGAAACTTTACATAATCATGCAATTTTTGTAATTTAGAAAGGCAATCGACACAGCAACGAAAAACAATCTCTTTTTAAAAGATAGAAAATTAAGCACTTTTTACCAACACTGAATAAAAAAAGCCCCTTTAAAGGCTTTTAAAATATGTTAATCAAAAATAAGCATTTTTTAAAAACTCTATACACCCTGAAGATATATAAGGAAATGGCAGCACATGACAAACACATATGCATTGTGTTAGTTTTCCCCACATTTTTGCTGCAAAAAAATTAAATTGTAAATAAATTAACAAAATAAAACTCAAACAAGTGATTTGTTAGTGTTAATATGGGTTACAAAGGTAAAACTATCTTAAATTTTATGTTGGGAATTATTCACTTAAAAATATTTTTCTATTTGCTTGAAAATATCTTAACTACATTTAGAAAGATCAATTTTTTTCAATATCAGATGATAATTCTTAAAAATAGGGACCCTTTATAAGCAATTAGTTTTGATTGTTTCCTGACATTGCTCAACAAAAGGTTGCGTCGTGTAAGATGTTGGCTGTACATTTATATCAATGTTCTTATCAAGAGCATGATCAAAACTAAAAATGTCTTCAAAACTAAGTTTTCAAATTAGAAAAAATATATTCTCAATATATATCAATAACATATATATATCATCAATCTTGAAATGATAATAAAACAAAAGAAAAAGAAGTTCTTTGAACAACTGTCACATTTTTAAAACCTTGACTTACAGTGATTTTCTCCTACTCTTTGTTCACTTTACTTTCAACCACATATGTTTAATTTTCAAAAAATGATGAATATATTTGACACAGTTTCCAAATAGAAAATTATTGTCTTAAATATACCCATAAAATTCTAGAATATGATTTTTATTTTATTTATTGACAAAATCTAACAGTCTAAAATTTAACAGTTTACTTGCCTTTTAAAGTAACTAGATTTATTATATTCTTTTATTAAGGCGTAATTGATAATCAATAATCCTGAATCTTTATATATTACATATTCTTTTGAAATATCTATTGTTTTTCATACAATAAGTATAAAATTTTATTTATTTTTAGGAGATGAAATTTATACGCTTAATGGTCAACCATTACAAGGCCTTTCACATTCAGAAGCCATAGCAGCCTTTAAGAAAATTAAACAAGGTCCAGTAGTGTTACACATTGGGAGACGTTCCAACAAAAAAAGGTATGCATTGGATTTCAAACACAATTGTACTCACACTATTTAAATCTTATAATTTGGATAGGAAAAAAATAAAGAATTTCCTTAAAATTCAATTTTTAATGAAATATTTTGTTTGGGTGGGGTCTTTTAATAAAAGTACTCATGGCATTTTAGCCCACTCTAAGACAACCCAAAAATTAATACAGCAGAACTTAACAATACAAGTAAATACACAACACAGGAACGTTACAAATACAGGTTTCGTGTACTTGATAAGTACCATCTTCATTATGAAAATAGGGTGCAAACAAACTATAAAATGACATTACTGTATTACAGGACTCTCATGGATCAGGGAAAACTTGGAATTGTCAGGAAATCTTTTTGAAAAAAAAACTGAAAAATAACCAGTCTTAGAATTTGCAGTAACAATAATCAATTATTTAAAAAATTCTAACATCTATTACTATTTTTTGTTGTAAAAACTCACATTTTAACAAAACTTTTCCATCCACTCCATATTTTTTTCCTCACGAAATCTAATATTTGACATTATAAATAAGAAAATTGTATAGTATAGATAAAATATAGTCGGGATTTACATTGAAAGTTTCCTGAAATACCTGGAAAAGTCGGGAAATTTTTTTCTGAAATTAAATGGGAACCCTGGTATTATAATATTTTCCAATCATTAAAATATATTTAACTTGTAATTTGAGACTTGTCATTGAAATCTGAACATCCTTTTCATCCTTAGAATAACTACAAAGTATGAGGTCAAAATCACCTAGTACTAAATTCAGCAGATGATTGCAGCAGATAAAAATGCAAAATAATTGTGCCTTTTGTGATGAAATATTTATCATTGTTAGAATATTAAATGCCCCAATATCTTGAAATCATGTACTAACAATGATTTATATTATTAGTACTAGTTGCAAGTCAAACATTCTTATCAGATTTCTATGGTAAATCTCAAATTTCAGCAAGATTTCTCAGTTTTACTTATGAGAAGGTGTAGCAAAAGTGTAAGGAAATTGAAGTTATACTTTAATAATTAGAAAATATTGTAAATTAGTTAATAATACAGCAATAAAATTTTATTGCTCGTTGACACTTTATTTTCATAATGGAGATGTCAACTTTTACATGCTACTGGTCTCTGGGGATTGTTAAATGTCAACAGTTTTGTTTATTTTCCTGTCCATTAGGGCCAGAAAGTTCCCCTTTTCCTTACTACACATGTTTTGTGTTCAGTTATGACACAAACTCAAGGTAACTTTTATATCAATGGGAAATACTGTATTCGCTTTTCGTGAGCAATTCTAGTTACAAAATTTTAAAAGAATACAAGGGATAACCATTTGATAAGTGCATAAATAGACAGAATAGAGGTATGCCCTAACCACTGTAAAAAAGAATGGTGAAGTATTTTTCCCATTAAATCAATCTTCTCTTTCTAAATAAAGAGGATACCACCATTCTCTTACATGAATTAATTGAATAAAATTTTATATTTAAGCTGTTACTATATTTTACAGAGAAATTTACAATGAAATTTTACAGAGTTTTCTTTAATCTATCAAGTTTCAAAAGCATATGAGAAAGGCAGTAATCATGAATAATTAAGTACACATATAGTAGAATGGGTCGAAGAAATTTTTTTTTGAATTTCGGAACACTTTTTAGCGTGAAAAAAATGTCAATTGTACTAAGAATAAAAATTTTCCAACTGTGCAGCATACTTAAAATTAATGCGAACATGAAAAACTGTGTACCTACCATGTGAAAATGGTTGCACTTTTAGTTCCACCTACAACTCTAGCCAAACAACCATCCATTTTTTTTGATGGTTGTCTGGTTTTTATATTATATTTACAGGTAGTTACAAAGAATTTTAAGGGACTGGGTTTCTTTAGTTTACTGCACTGTTAAAATTCCTTTCTTTTTATATCTACTACACATTTAAAGTCCAGTTTACTGGAGAAATGAGGTTTGATTAATCTAGATCTGAATTTTGCTCTAAAATTTTCATCTAGAGCTTCATGTTCACACATTTTATTTCAAATTTGACACCCTTTCACAGCCTAAAAGTGACAAGAAAACTTTGATATTTTTCTTAATGGGTATTGAATGCCAGAATTGGTGAGTGATTTAATATCTTCACTTATGTCTCACAGCATTGACAGACCACACAAGGTTATCTACGGTAGTAAGAAAATGGGTCTTTGGTCAACTAATTCTTATCAACCAAGAATATCTGCTGTACATTTTAACTGCCATAATTTTGAAACATTGTGAAGAAAACTTGGCAAATCAGGATCCAGATCCTTTGTCCCATTTCAGATGGTCAATTGTTGTCAACCAAGTCTTTAAAATGTATGTAAGAAGAATTGTAAAAGCAAGACAAAAGGTTCCAAAGAAAACGAGTATTCATATTATCAAAACTAAACTTTCAACCTTCGGATTATTAATTGGAATTCTTGTGTTCCATATCCTCTCCTAATGTTACGACTTAAGTTAAGATATTAAAGCACACGTTAATTCTGTCACTCATTATAGAAATACCAAACTTTTTTTTAAGGTAGTGAGAAGGTGTGTCAAACTTGTGACAGAGATTTCGAATAAAAAAATCAGCTTATTATGATGCTAGAGATATAACTGATTGGTGATGAGTAGTAGATATTAAAAATAAAGTAACCCGAAGAATGCAGTAAACGAAAGAATCCTACTACATTGAAAATCTTTGAGACTAGCTGTAAATACAGTGTAAAAACCACATAAAATAATGAATGACTAGCTGAGTAGGGTGTAGGAGGAATTCGACATAATGAACGAAGAGAAATTATGATTAACTGAAAACTTTTTTAAAATGTTGCACAAGTATAAAAATTAAATTATCAATTAAAAAATTTAATTTATGTAGGTTATTCAAACTATGAAACAAACAAATTAAACTGCAGTGGAATTATTTCAAAAGCCACTTTTTTTTCTCTTTAAGTTTTCATTCATTTTAAAAATGATGCATAAAGTTATGCCCTTTTTGTTCTTTGTACAATGGATAACTTTTTTGTACTAAAGTGCTTTAAAATACAAACATTTATCGGTTCGAACCAATATACTATATTAGTGAGTTTATGTACTTTTTCATGTATCACTTGTAAATGTTCAGTACGTTTGGCCTGCTTCTGAAAGGATATATTGAATAGGGCAGTTGCAACTACTTTTTAACTGTAAAATAGGATTTATGGTGTACTTACTAAATATACTTCTATTCTGTTCATTTATGCACATAGAATTAATCTATGTTCAAATGGTGCTCACCTTCATATCTTAACTATCTGAAACAAAGAAAGAGATGTTAGTAGTAGTCTAACTAAAAATATTGGGTAAACAGAAATTTTTTTAGTTGTTATAAGTACCCTCGTTCACACTTTCCAGAAAAAATTTAAACATCATGTTACACCTAGGATATTTCTAAAAAGAGAACAATACTATAAAACTGCTGTCATTTAAAAAAAATTTCTCATGCTATAAGTTATTATTGTTAGAAGTCATACATAGACCTGCAAGTTACATATTATCATGTATATAAATTTTTGTTTTGGACAATACGGTACAGTTGAAATACAAATTTTAATAAAATTTTTTCTTTTCTTTTTCAGTTCATGCCTATCCGAGTCCAGTAGTAAGCTAGAAAGCAACAATTCTAAGTCATGTAGTACGCTAGATAATATCTAGCTAAAGCTCTGTGCCTTTTACTTTGTTAGAAACTTTTTGCAATTTTGTAGTTTTACATTTTGTTTGTTATTGAAAATATACATTGTAAATAAAGTATGAATTTCAGTCTTTAAACACTTACTTTATTTCAAAACACATACAATACTAACTATGTTTCAAATACTGCTCAAGAGATGTACTCCTACTGAAAAAATCATTAATGACAAATTTTTGTTTCATGCAAAAAACTATGATGTTTCTCTGTAGTTCGCTTCTCCTTGTATAAAATTCATGTTTATAAACAATATCAAGTGAATCATCCATTAGTTTATTTAGTGAAGACTTTAACTTCTCAATTCTTTCTAGCAATAATGTGGATTGCATTTTTGATGCCATATGCAATGCGGTTTCAACATATTCTTTCCTCCGCAAAAGCTACAGAACACAACATTAATTATTAACTGTACTTACCTTATCCTTCTGTTGCTACCATAAGAAGCTTCTCAATTAATATTAATGCAGGCAAAATTTTTGATTTAAGAGTGCTCAGCTGGTTACTTAGAAGAAACAGCTTTTAAGTAACTAATGCTATTTTTCTAGTTTCCTGCTTTTTTGGATATGCACACTTAAAAAAAAAAAAATTTAATCACATGCAGAAAAATTTATAAAAAATCTTGTTACTTTTCAATATCTCAATTGATTTTGTTGAAATCAATGTTTATAACTAGAAATTAAAGAAACAATATAATTGAACAATGCTGCAAAAAAACTTCAGCTCTATCATAGCATGTACAAAATATTTATCTGAAAAGAATAAAAACAGGAAACGAGAGAAAGATATATGATTGAATCAGATAGAGTAAAAAATAATAAATGCACAAAAAATCATACAAACATTTTTTATAGCACAGTCAAAGTCCGCTATAATTAACCTGAGATGTGGTGAAGATTTGTTGTATTAAACTTTTTTAGTGGTCCCTTCTGAGCTCCCATTTAACTAACATTATTTTATATGTGTATAGTAGACAGCTGAGAAGTCGCTAGCTCATTTATAGTCTACTCTATATCTTACTCTTGTATGCTCTTCACTTTTAAACAAGGACAAACAAGAATGAGAAAAAAAAAATTGGGGAACTTTTAGCTTAAAAGCAAAATCCAAGGTTCATACAGAGATCAGAAGAAGAAATCCAAGGAGTCCAAAATTTTAAGGACTTATCAAAAATTTAAAAACTCTGTGTAAAAGATAACTAGACAATTTTTTTTTAAAATTAAAAAGCAGTTATTACGAATACATAAGAAAATCTAAGGCATTTTATACACAAAAAAAAATCATAGCAAATTATTAATTAAGTTTACTTGTAACATGTAAAATTAAAATTATTTGCTGTTATTTTTTCCTTCTAAATCTTGCAATTCAATTTTTTTTCTTCTTTTAAAGTGTTTCTTAAACTGTTAGATTTTGAAAGCTAAGTCATATCATTTAGTTTCCCTGCTTGGACAGCAAATTCATCAATGGACTTAGTTCATCTATGCAACGCAATAATCTAAGGAGTTTCTAAGGACTAATTTGGAAATCTAAGTAGTTCCAAGTACTCATTGGAGACTTTTCCAGTGAGTTTCTAAGGAGTATAAGGAGTCTGTACGCACCCTGAAAATCAGAATTAAAAATTCTGAATCTTTTTGTACAGCAGAAAATGAGGCCAAGAAAATATTAGATACTTCACTACTTGTTGATATGAACATTGGTGATATCAAATTGTAGTCAGTCATTGCATAAATTAACAAGTTCTTAAATTTCTATAGTTCTAAATGTAGTATAGTTCTAAAAGTGTTACTTAGCAACTGTAATATCTAGAACAAGTAATATTGAGACATTTTAAAAGCTGAGGTTGAGGTAAAATCATAATTAAAAAGTCTGAATCTTTTTGTACGGAAGAAAATGAGGACTAGAAAATATACTTTACAACTTGTGATATGAACATAGGTGAAATCAACTTAAAATCAAGTTGTAGTCAGTCATTGCACAAATTTACAAGTCTATTCTAAGTTCTAAAATTTCAATAGTTCTAAATATAGAATAGTTCTAAAAGTGTTATTTAGCAAATGTGATATCTAGAACAATTAATATGGACACGTTTTAAAAGCCAAGCCTATAAAATTATCTAAATAAAAAATAAAACAAAATTTTAAAATAAAGAATCTAAGCATGCAATGGTGCTAGATTACTTTTACATCAGAGGTACATAAATATACTAACATGAATTAAAGAGATGTACTAGGAAATTGCATCATGTAGCGTTCAGAATGTATAAATAACAATAAAAAAGATACACTAAAAATTTTCCTAGAGCTAGGAATTTCTATCTACATGAATTTTTAGCCTACAATCAAATTAGTAGGCTAAGATTTGATATAATTTTAGAATTATATGGGAAAACAATACACCAAAAAGTAGCAATCTATCAGCAAATATAAACAAGAAAATTTCTGATCTAACACTGAAACTGTGTTTTAAATAGTATATTTTTAACAACCAAGATTAGAAGTATTTCAGAAGCAGGAGAATATCGAATTTTTAAAATAATATGCAATAACTGAAATGATAATTATTATAGATAGCATTTCACGAATAACAGATTATTAGTTCAAATAATATTTTAGTTAAAAAAATTGAACTCAATGTGTTTTAAGAATGGATGTACAATTTTAACATTCCCAGAAGAACAGTTGATTTAATATTAATGGATGAAAAAAAAGTAACAAGTTTTAATACAAAGAAAAAAAAGATTAAAAAAAAATATTTGATTTAAATAAAACATAGTTAACATAAGAATTTGGTTACCAGTGATTGTTTAAAAACTTTTAACTAATCATACAAATTATGCAAATCATTGATGATAAAAAATATATTGAAGCTGCAGTAAACAAATAAATAAAAAAATTTACAGAGAAATCAGTGAAATGATAAACATTTGGTTATCAGAGATTATACTCATTGGCAGGAAAAAAAAGTTATGATTGCCTTTTTACGATCACTGGTTATGCATTAGTCAAATGCTTATTCTTTCTGGATTGACTCCATCAAACGCCACAACATTTCAAACCATGGGGTTGCAAAAACTGCCTCGATTGATGTTTGTTGTCTGATTGATTTTCATATCCTGCCTATGTACGTGTTTCAAGATATCACAAAATACTTCTTCTTCTTCATCATTCATATTTATATTAAAATTACCATCAAGCCAGTAATTATACGTTAATAATAAAAAGAATATAAAAATAATTTAAATTATTATGTACATACATTAAAAATGTGCTAGTGAAAATAAAAAGAAAAACAGCAGCGATCGCCATAGCAACGCATGCAATGAGGACCCATGCACAGTGTTTAAAATTACTCTTGAACACAGTTAAAAAATGTGTGGACACCATCAAATCCAAACCAAGACCCATTTTGCCAATGGGTAAAAAAAAATTTAAAAAATTCTCAACTCTTATTTTATTTTCCTTCTTATAATATGCATGGGAAATGCTAAGAATGGCTAAAAATGCCAAAGGTAAGAAAAAGTGAAAACCAAAAATGTAAAATTTACGTTTTAGTCCTTCAGAACACACTTTTCAAAAATGAAGAACAATCATTAGTTTTATATGCAGGATTGATACAGGAAAAAAACAAAAAAAATCAATTAAAATTTTTTGTGGAGAGAATAAAATGTTTTGTTACTTTGCATGTTTGCAAAACAAAACTGTGTACCTTGTAAATTCATTTAAACCCAATATAAAATCGAATTTTCGCAACAATAAACACAAATTTATCAGAAATAAAAAAAGGACTGAAATCTAAGAAATGAAATAACTGAAGCTTCAAATTACAATAATAAATAATGAATCATATCCTTCTTACCCTTGCAGAAATGGTAGAAGGTGCCAAATTAACGTATCTACATGCGGGGAAAAAGTCCTTCTACAATGAAACTAGCAATCACAGGTGGACAATAAGTTTCGCTTACAAAGATCAGCACATGTGAAGAAGTCGAAAGCAATTTTCAGTTTTAAATTAAAGAGGACAGCATAGAAAATCCAATCCAAACTTAGTTTTAAAGACATAGAAAGAGGAACAGTGTAAGGTTAAAGGCAATGAATTAAAAAATCTTTTCAAGAACGTGCATGAATCTTTGATCACAAAACAATCGAGCTTTGAAGTTGGATATGGGGTCAAGAACATACATATTATTTCTAAAAAATATTGTATTTGAAACACAATCCAATATCTTACATCGAATGTCACAGCAAAATTATAGATTTTTTAATGAGTCATAGTGTTAATCTCCCTTTAGAGCGTTTTTTAAAGCTCTTTTCAACAATAAAAATAAAATTTAAAATAATGAAGCTATGTTTTAGTAACAAACTATATAAACTATTTTACTGAAACAAATAGTCTGAACTTAAAAACAAAAAAGCTTAAATATTTAAAAATATATATAAATGTAGAATTTAATTTAAAAAAATGGCCAATTTGTCCAGATTTTGCCATCAATATGAAAATTATAAACAGAGTTTGTCAAAGCTCTTTCCTCAAAGTAAATGAAAAAATAAGATCCCAGTTTAGATGTGTAGCTCTTGAGAAAAAAAAAATATAAACATAACACTATTTTGCAGTAAAAAATCATTGGGGCTTTAGAATAGATAAATAGTTTAACTATTTCAAAAATTAAACATTTTCAAAAATCGCAAATTCGGCGAGATTTTTAAATCAAGATGGAATTTAAAAAACAATAATTCTCAATTTTTGAAAATTTCACCAAACAGTTGCATTTTTTAATTTTGCTTTCTGTTCTTTCAGAATTAGCATAGGCTAAACTTGATATAACAGTCATAATTAACTGGGGTATACTCACAGCAGTTATGAAAGTATATTATTCGTAGAAAGCATTATTTCATGAAATGACAGGGCCAAAAACAGCCTTAAAATCAATTAATTATTCAAAATTTTAGTATATTTTTAGAGCACAAACCCTTTCTGTTTTCATAAAACGTTATGTTGATATGAACATTTTCTGCCAAGTCAACAGCCAGCACAGGATGTGATTATAATTGGTCAAAATGAAACCTTTTAGGGCCCACTGTCATACATACATGCCAGCATGAATCACTCATTTCCTGGCCTATACTCAAGCATGCTAGAAAACTTTATTGTTCACCACATATTTGTGTTAATGTTCCAGATCATTTTAAAACTATTATTTTTCGCACAAGGTAGCATTGTATGTCCATAGGATTAGATATACATGTAGTCTCAATCTTATACTTGAAATGAGAGACTTACATGAATATGGTTTTGTATTATATAAACATGAAGGGAAAAAGATACTTTCAACAGCTTTTTAAAATGAGCATCATTAAATGGTTACAATAAAATGAGTTTTATTTTTGCTAGAGCATTGTGTATTTGAGATAGCAGTATAATTTTTAATCGATAGTTAGATTTCTCAGTTTTTAATATTACAGTGAGAATGGTCAAGATGACTAAAACAGGGTCAGTCAGCCAAGTAGGGGCCTAGAAACCTGCCACGAAAAAGTAACTCCACTGTGCAGAAATCTCAAAAAGTAAAAACCAGCCTGCCCCTACGAAGACGAACTGGAACGAAAACAGATTTGAAAATCGAAACTTGGAATGTACGCTCACTCTACATGAGTGGGACTCCAAGAAATCTCATAGACATTTATAAAACCTATAATATCAACATTTTAGCTACACAAGAGATTAGATGGCTTGAAATTAGAACTATAGAGAAAAAAAAACAGTGATGTCTATTACAGTTGCCAGGATAATTATCACACTTTTGGTACAACTTTAATCGTTAACAAGAGTTTAAAACAAAGAGTAATTGACTTCAAGCCTGTAAATAAGAGAATCTGTAAATTGCTCATGAAAGGCAAACTTCAAGGCAAACTTTAGCATGCATCAAAAGATAAAGACGACCCTGATAAGGATGGTTTCTACTACATTTAGAAACTGACTCATGATGATTGCCCTCAAAAAGACATTAAGATGGTAATTGACGACTTTAACATTAAGATTGAGACTACCTTGTATAGTTGAATTATTATAGCAAAAATTGTGCCAAATAGTTCATTCATAAATATGATTCCAAAATAAACCTCAGTGATAGAGACACTATAATATATTCTAATAATTTGGATAATAAAGCATCAAACTAAAGTACATTATTAAAGAACACATTCCTATTACAGTAATTTGATGGATTAAGGCATAACGGTAAAAAGCCTTTCACCCAAGACTCTCGGTCTTCGAGATAAACATATGTTTGCACCTCCCATCTTAAACGGAATAAGATGCAATTAAGAATATAAAGGGAATAAGATAACAGGCATAAATAACTGGTTCAATTACACCAATTATAAACATATATTTGCTCACAAATAATATTAAAATAAGCATTTTTCATAAATGCTAGAGCCTTTAAGGAACAACTTTAATACAAAACATTAGTTTAAAACACATATACAATAAATATCAGCTTAGTTTCAGTAAAAAAGAGAATTAAAAAAAATTGTTTTTATAACAATGATTAAATTATAATATTTGAGAAAATGTTACTTTAAACTGAAGTTGCATACTTCATAAAAATTAGTTGTGAAATTGTGTAATCACTTTTTACCTGCAATAAATCTGGATCAAGCTTGGGACATTGGCTATTTCCTTCAGCACCTTCAATATTAGGAGTTGTTCCATTATCAAACATGTCAGAATAATATGTCATCAATTTAGAAATGCACACGTCATTGTGTTCCACAATTATTTTATAAGAAGCTTCGACATCATTTAGATACTTAGCTTTGATAATCAGCATTTCTTGCTTAAAAACTTTGCTCAATTTCTAAAATAAGATGAAAAGTTTAGCTATCAAACTTTTAGGTTAGTTTCAAGTTGATTTATAAAAAAAATATATTCAGAATGCTATAATTTGTGCAAAAAAAAAAGTTTAGTTTCCAAGAAGAAATTGAAAACAAAATATAGTATGCCATAAAATAATAACAATATATACAAAATAATAGTTATAAATAAAATAATAACAATATATACAAAATGAATAAAATAATAATATATACATAAAATACGAACACTTAAAATTTTAAACAAACTTAGCAATCTAGCTTCCTTTATTAAGCAAGATGAATTTTATAAGAGTAAATGTAATTTAATTTTTTAAAATTAATTAGATAATTTAATCATAGAAAATAAGTCACTATTAATTTAAGGTTAACATAAAATATTTATGAATTGAAAAATAAAATACACATAAAATAATTATCGGAAAACAATATAAATTATCGAAAAAAAAGAAAGTATAATCTGCACTATTGGAATAAAATTTAGGTAATTTATATATATATATATATATTAACCTTAGAATTTTCTTTAGAACAAAAAGTTATCAGTTTCCTGCAATAATTTCCTTAATGGTGTGGCATTGAACAAATCCTAATACTTTAAGATCAATTACTAGAACAACTGTATACCACAGTTGAATTAAAAAAAAAAATAACCTGTATCAATCAGTTAATATACCGTGAAAGCAGTAATTAAAATTTTTTAAAGAGTTCTTCAAGACTTCACCCAGTTCAAGAGTAGGACTTCAATAATGTCAAAACAAAATCATGATTACAGTAATGTTGATTGAAATCTATCATTTTTAAATCAGACAACTTCATCCTATACGATTTGTTACTAGACCTGCTGAAAATAACAAAATAAGCACATGACCCCTGAAATCATCACCATAAAAATTTGACATTGCAAAATTGTTAAAATGCACCACCTGCAAACAAACAAAACTATATTCTTGAACCACTTACATAGTTAGTGTATGATTACTAAAGGTGTTACCAGGGTTGAGTAGGAAATAATGAGAATTAATATACATCAAATGAGAATCATATAGACTGCATAAACAAATTTTATGCATACTGTTTAAAAGTCAATCACGTCTTTAATTTGTTAGATTTATGAATAATTCACATAATTTAACTGTTCGTAACATTATCTTTAAAAGAGAGAAATATCTTTATTTGTTAAAATATAAAAATAACTATTGGTATCATTTAGGACACACCATTTTAAAAAAAATTTTATTAGAAAAAAAAAAGAGTAGCAATCTTTTTTTAAGCAATATATTGCATAAGTAATTATTGCAACATTAAAAAATTATAATAATGTAGGTGAGTAAGGAATACTAAGTATGAAAGTTTTATTTTTAAAATGAAACTTACGCAATGAAAAAAAAACATACTTTAAACACTCCTGAATTTTTCAAAGTATAAATATTAATAGGTACTGAATAAAAAAAATTTATCATGAATAAAAAAAAGCTTACTGAGCCCAAAATATAGAGTATAGTTACAGAAGTTTTGATACAATATAATAAAATATTAGGTGAACCGGAAAGTAATGCCACTTAGGTGCATTTGATACATGTTATCAAGATTTTATTTTTTATGAATAATTTATTCACCATCGTTAGCAACAACCTTTCAATGCCGGATCGGGGAAAAAAATTTATTGGTTTTTAAGATTAACGAATATTTTATGTGCCGAACGACAATACTTTCCAAAAAAGTTTAGATTGGAAAAGAAACATAAATAGTTATCAAAAAGTAAAGCATGCATCAAGTTATAGAAAATTTATAAATTACATAATATTTACCTGAATAAGGTCAATCAACAAACATGATGATGCATTCATAAAGTTTCTGTAAGTATTTAACAACCTTGCTTCCCATTTGGCTTTCAATTCCATTATTTTATTATCCATTTCCAGGGAAGATGTGTATTTTTGAATTATCAGGCACAATTCTTTTGGTATCTGTAATAATATAAAGTGCTTTATACATAATAAAAAAAAATTATAACTAATACATTAAATGCATTAATTAAAAAAATAGATGCTGGAATGAAAATATTTTTAATCCTAGCTAAGTGAAAATATTTTTGAATTGTTAAACTCAGTTCGGCTTAGGCATATATTTTAAAATAAAATGCTTGTGAGATATTAAAAAAAATTAAAAGCGAAATAATTCAATGTAATCTACAAATAAGAATATATATATAACTTTTGTGTTTATGTTGAAATGAAGCTATTGTTGCACTTATTTTATTTAAAATATAGTTTTCAACTATACTAGAAACAAGCTTATTGAAGAGAGCTGTCTTGTTTAATTTTACTTTCTTAAGAATTTTCAGTTAAAAACAGTACTGTTTAATTTTAAATAAACTCAGATTTTAGAATTATTTCTCGAAACATATGTTTCCTTTTTACACATTTTTCAAACCAAGCAAAATAATGAAGGTACTTTTTTAAAAAAAAATAACAAATTTGATTTTTATAAAATTATAAAAATATTTATGGACCTGTTCAATAGAAAAAAATTATTTGTTGCATAACAAGTTTTGAATAAAAAATATCTGTCAGTTTAAGAAGGAAGCAAGCATTGAACATTGATGGGTAACAACATGCATTGTAGTATACAACCTACACTTAGGTTTCAACGCACTACAATTACAACCATTATAGTGAACGATAAAGTTCAGCTTTTAATTCCATAGATGCAATGTTATTTTAGTGCTTGTTAGATTAGCCACACTAAATCATTCATTTTAGTATAGATTCCATTTAATTCCAATGAAAATTACCTTAGAAATAAGAATAATTTTTTTTTTTTGCTTCAAAAATAAAATGTTATGTATGCATTTAATTTAACAAAAGTAACAAAGAAATTAATTAAACCACTATTTCTTTTGCCGTTAATTTTTTGGAAAATATTTTAGATTCCCTATGAATGAAGGAAGAGAAACAACTGTTATATCCTAGATTCTAAGATTCTTATCCTAGGAGATCGAGTCTAATATTTTTTAGTTTATATATTAGAATAAAAATATTAATAAGTATATATAAGTAAATATTTATGGTCTTTTTGAGCATTTACAATATACAATCTCACATCCCAAGTGACACAAATACCCCTAGAATATCGTAATGATATCAAACATATATTGCAATATTAAAGTGATATCATTAAGGTATTTTAAGGATACTTGTATTACTTAGAATTATAATGTAAGTGCTAGTTTGGATGAAAAATGCCATTGTATGGAGTATCAACTGTTTAAAATGGATAAATTATGTTGCCGATACATAACTTAAAACTGAACAGTCTACGTGTATGGGTTCTTTTTAATTTTAAGACGTTTTATCCCATCATTTTGGATTATTTTAGAAAGCAAAAATCAATGATCTTCATTGTAATAACTTAAAAAGGATGAAAATTACAATTGAACATGTAATATGTTTTAGTATTGCTCTGAGAACTAAGCGATTTCTAAGATATTTGTAACAATTATAAATCTGGATTAAAAAAATAATCCACACACTGCTAAAACATTTAGAATTAATAATTGTCAAATTTATTAAATCTTGATTGGTAGAAATATCTCAAACAATGAAGAACTGCACCAGGACTATTCTAATAACCAACAGGGTATCTGCTACATTTTAGATTTTCAAATCCATAACTTCTCATGAATAATTCCAAGAATTTTTCATGACTTACCGAATTTACTATTTTCACCATAAAAACACAACAATAAATTTAAAAAAGGATTATAATAACATTAATTGAAATTATGGGTATAACTAAAACTGTTATACTCTGCATCTTCATATTTATTGATTTTAAGCTTAAAAAATAAAGAAAGAGTAGAAGCAATAAAATAGCTTTAAAAAATACAAAAGCAAATAATATTTTTNTATACATATATATATAAAGCAAATTACTAAATACTGTCAGATATATGTAGTAGTTATTCAAAGCTGTTTTATTTCTTCGTTAAAGTAAGTGTAAATATAGCCTAAACAAGAATTTTAAATTGACAAAAAAAAACTAATTAAAAAAATTTCTGAAATCTCAGAAGTTTAAAAGATAATTGTTCTTTCTTTCATTTTTTGCAAGAACACCATAATTTTTAAAGAACAGGATAATAACATCTCATACTTTAATGAAATATGACTATGAGTGGGAATTTTTCTACAAATTCAGACATTTGGAGCCTCGGAACACTGTGACATAAGGAGAAGGGGGTAAATTCCATTTTAAAAATAAGATTTTTCAGTGACCTAAATCCATGATTTTTTTTAAAAAGTAGTTAAAATCATGACCTTTCATGACAAATTTTGTTCAATACCGAAATCCATGACTTTTCAGGTGCACGGATACCCTGAACCAATGCATGTTAAGTTATGGGAGGAATGGCTGAAATGAAATGGAATAAACTTTAAGGCTCAAAAAATTTCGCTTAGTATAAAGCCAACCCACTAACCCAGTCTCAGCCTAGTAGCTCAACTTAATTGTTTATGCAGATTACAGTTAAAAAGATAATTTTTAAATGTTTCCTTAAAAATGAAAATAAACAAAATAACAAATATACATTTTCCTTAAAATTAATAAACTCATACTCTTCTTCTTTCACAATATTTAGAACAAAAACATGGGCTTCTTTAATCATTTTCAAGAACTCTTCTTTCTCTTTCTCCATTTGTTGGTAATATTTAAAACCATACTGGTGCCAGTCATCAAATGCTTCAGTAACTTTTTTGCGATGAGTTAAATATTAAAGAAAATAAGCTACATCTTTTTATTTTATTTTGAACCACAATATTGTAACTGAAATTTTGTGTTCAAATTATACACTAAAAGAAAATAGAAAGACATTTATTTATTATGTTAAAAGATTGTGTTATCTATTAAGATGCAGTTCAGCTTGATGCTAATCAGGCATTAATTTATTTTTTTCGCACTACCATTGATTATCTGAGAAATGATTTATATTCTTTTAATAAATATAGATACACTACTCTACAAAAATAGAACAGACGCTTTAAGTTTTTGGCATTTGCAAAATTTCTCAAGAAATAATTAGGGAATTATTTTATAACTTTAGACTAGATATTATTTTATAACTTTTATAATTTAGGTCATGTGATTTCTCATATGTATCAATAAAGTTTAAACCTTACAGACGTTTAAGGGACTAGTAATAAATTACAAATGAAAAAAAAGTGTTTTTGAACAGAATATGCCAGAGAAAAAAGATATAGCAACAAGCTTGTAACTTGAAGCAATTATTTTTGTAGTCACATGCAATTACTACACAAAACTTTGTAAAGCTAGCTGAAATATTCATTGAGATATAGACATATTTTATAAAAGAAAAAACTAATTTTTTCGCCTTACATTTTCTTACTATAACTATAAAAATATACAATAAAATTCAACAAAAGTTTTGGAATTTTTATAAATTAATAATAAAAATATTTTAAAATTTGAAAGAAAAAAAAGAACTTACCAAATTACTACTTCGAAAATTGATAAAAACTTTCAAATTTTGAAGATATTCAAATTGAACTTTTTTTTTTACATGTTGCCAAATACAGTTAGAAAAAAAATTAAGAAAATTCTTTAAATATTTTTTACAGATATGCAGTATGAAAGCACTAATTTGAATGCTCATGGCTTGTGCAATTTCTAACAAATTTTTTTCAAATTTTAAAAATATGTTTTTGTTATTATTTAAAAATTAATCCAAATATTTTGTTTAATTTTATAGAACATTTCTATAATTACAATAAGAAAACTTATGGCTAAAAAATTAGTTTTTTTTTTAATAAAAATGTTCATCTCGATAAATATTTAAGCCAGATTAACAAAATATTTTGCAAGCTTATTTCTATAAAAATACTTTTTTCATTCGAAATTTCTCGCTGGTTCTTCAAGCCTATGAAAAGTTTAAACTTTATTGATACATGTGATGAATCGCATGACCTAAACACCTCTAAAGTTATAAAATAATTTTCTAAAAATAAGAGTGTCTTCAATTATTGCAGGGTAATGTACATATATATAGATAAACAATTTCTTCAGTTATATTAGTTTAGAATATCGATCATCTAAAATAAAATAATAACCTTATTTATTAATACAACTTTTAATTTAATACAACTTAAAATTTTTTAATTATAATTTTTTAGCCAAAAATATGAACTAAATAGCAAAAATTTTCATAAAATAAATTAACCATGATTGACTATTAAAATAAATATACAAAAAGAAAGAAAAGAAATTAAAATTTATTATTAATTTTTATTAATTATTAATTTTTCGTGGGAGCAATATAAGACAATGGCAGAACAGTTATGTGTTTCCAAGATTTTGACTTAACAATAGAAATTTAAACAGTGACAAATACTTGTTTTGGCTTTTAAATATAATATTTTGATTAAAGTAATAACAATTGACCATGAATATCATATTCATATAATTAACAATTATTATTCACTCATTCTAAATAAATAGCTTTAAAATAAAATAAAAAAATGAATGAAAAAAAAATATTGTGTTTTTAAATTAGACATTTTTTTTCGAATTATTTTGAATTATAAAAATACTTTAAGAGCTTATAAAAAATGAAAATTCAAAAGTTTTCTCTCTAGACATACAGCAGAGATTTTAATGAACAAGAAGTAAAAATAAAGGAGTAATGATATAAGAGGTAATGATATAACAATAAAATTAAGGCTTAAGAAAATTTACAATAACAGCATCACAAGTTTTCATAAAATTGAGATAAAAAGGATATTAATCGGTATATTTTGCAACAGGAGGGTAAGAGTAAAGAAGATAAAAATTTCTATCATATTCAAGCAGCTTTTCTAAACCACGGCCACTTGTTAGACCATCAATAAAAGCCTCCTATAACAGTTGAAAATAGAATTATTAATAAAAGAAAATTAATATATCAATAAAATGAAACTAAAATAATTAATGTTAAAAAATAAAATATTTATCGACTTCAAAAGGATTAAAACATTTTGTGTTGCTGCTTCTTTTTTTAAAAAAATGTATGAGAATTTGTAACTTAAATTTTTAATAAACAAGATATTTAGAATAAAGATATTTATATTTCATCAGATGATAAAAGTATATCGCAAGTCAAAATTACGGCAATATTTTCATTTTTTTTCCTGATTATGCACATACAGTAAACATTATTGGAAGCAAAAAATTTTAAAATTCTATAAAATTTGTCTATTTCTTTTCCTTGATTTTTAAAATTTGTTTGATTTGTATTTAGATTTTTTGGATTTGCGTTTTGGCAAGCATTTTTACTACACAAAGAATAACATATTTCATTAAAATTGTAAACTTTATTCATTCTTTGTACTGTAAGTTTTAATTTAAAACTCATTTTGTTATATTTTTTTTTATAAATCTAACACACAGATATAAATGGACTAATGAAAATTAGCAATGACAAAAAACACATTTCAGTTTCTACTCCTTTAGATCAGTCAGGGGTGATTGTGAGCCCAAGTCAAAATTCCGGAAAATTTCTTGAGTTAAAAAAAAAAAAAACAGTTTAAATTGAAAAGTTAGAAAAAAATGTAAGCAAGTTTTTTTTCCCTTTTTCTCAATATTTCTTGGTTTACTTAAAATATATTTAAAATTTTACACATACCTATACCCTTTACATATACCTATGATGACCTGGATAAGTAATTAAAATTTACAAATATGTCTTTCTTTCTTGAGTTAATGATTATAACAACTATTTACTGATAAAAAATGAATATTAATCATGAATATAAGCTTATAAAGTATCTGGCTCTCCCTTACAAACAAATAACTTGTGTTTTTAAGTTCCACCTTTGAAAATTTGATTTTCGGAAACTTCTGCGATCAATGATTTTTTGAAACGTCTGGACCTTCGATCTCCGGAAACTTCCGGATCATTGCTAGCGAAAAATCTGGAAATCCGGATTTTTTCCGCAGCACAATCAGCCCTGATCAGTTCTAAATTTAGTTACTTCTACCTCTGTTCTAAGTGAAATTTAAGAAATTTGAAAATAAAAGAAACATACAACAAAGGTTTTTAAAAGATTATTTGAAAACATTTTTAAAAAATGATAAAAAAAAGATATTGAGAATGACAGATAGCTTATATTGAGTTAAATTAAGTAAAGAAGAGATGTTTGATTAACAAAAAGGTTTTTATCTTTATATAAAAACCACTTCACATTATTAACGGCGTTATAATTGAATTCTATATCAATATAGCACATTTTAGAAGTATGACATGTCATATTTTGTACTCTAAAATTTAGGGATTTTTAGCTTTTTTTAAATATTCTTTAAAAAAATACTGAATCCACTAAGCAATCGATTAATCTATTTCTAAATTATAAATGCTTAATAAAGACATATCATAAGAAAAAATGCATTAAAATGATAGAGTCTATGTAAGTGATATAAGCAAGTAAGTTCAGTAGGTGGGTCACTTCAATAAATTAATATTCATAATCTAAAAAAAAAAATACTTAAAAAATAACCGCTCACAATTCATATGCAAAGTTACTACTATTTCAAAGGACAAACGATGAGAACGATGAAGAAGGCTGTTACATAAACAAAAAAAGATAAATAAATAAAAGATAATAAAAATAAACAAATAAAATCTATGATTCGTGAGTTCTTAAATAAATAAGAGATTTTTTTTTATGACATAGTCTAAGGTAAAATGCATGAAAATGATAGAGTCTATGTAAGTGAAATAAACAAGTAAGTTCAGTATGTGGGTCACTTCAATAAATTAATATTCATTATCTTAAAAAAAAATTTCTTTAAAAAATAATCACTGTCAATTCAAATAATTTAGCAAAGTAACTAACATTTCAAAAGGGAAACAATGAGGAATGCAATTAATGAAACTTAAAATAAATAAATAAAATCTATAATTCAGGAGTTTTTAAATGAAATAGATATTTTTTTCAACAATATAATTTCCATATTAATTAGTAGTAGAATTCGAAGCGTAACAGAGGGGAAATCACACAGGTATTTTATCCTAAAAAATGTATTAAATATATGTGAAAACAAAAAATTGCGCAATAATATGCTACATTAAGGTGCAATGTTTAATGTAATTGCATAAAATAATAAAAGAGCCTCATAATTTAATTGTCAGGTAATTAAAAGTACCCGTAAGAGAGGGGACAAAGAAAATCCCACATTTTTGACATGCATTGTTATTTCTACTATATTCTGTGACTTGGAACATCTTAAACATTATTTGTAATTTTTTTTTTTAGTTATCACATCAAGGTTATATCAAGGTAAAATAAATTATTATAAGACTTTTTAAATTGCTTACACATTTTTATTAACTTCAAAAAATGCAATGTAACAGAGGGGACATTTTGCAAATTTGACAAATAGTTACACGGAAATATCATGCCATTTAATTAAACATTGCACCTTAAAGTAGCATATTATTGCACAATTGTTTTGTTCTCACATATATTTAATAAGTTTTTATGATAAAATACCTGTGCGATTTCCCCTCTGTTACGCTTGGAATTCTACCACTGGTTTCAGTAGGCATGGAATTCAACAGTAGCATTTCTACAAAGAAAAAAAAAACATCTTTAGTAAGTTGTAGAAAGTCAAAATAAATGTTATGCTCTTTAAATATTATTCTACAAAATAAAAAATTTCCCATCTTTTTCAAAACTAATCAATAAATTGTGCTAAGCCCCCTACATAAAATTGTACTCAAATGCACTTGCTGTGCACTAGTTTCCAACAGAAACATAGGGCAAACTGGCTTTCTGATGAAGAGAGGGATAAGAAATTATAATTTTATAGACACAGTTTAAAAAATTATTATTAGATGAAAAAGTTCTCTTAAAAAGAATTTTAAAACTTTTTATAAAATATAATATACACGAGTTCAGAAATTGCACATTAATTTCGTGTTATCTCTAATATGGGTAATAATTCGCAGGTCGAGAACTTTTAAAACAAATGTTCTAAAAAGATAGACTATTTGTGTAGTAGAGTTAGGTACTAATTCGATAATTTGAACCACTGAATTGACCGAGTCATACAATTCATCATCTTGAAATAATTTTTATCTCTAATCACTCAATCATGTAACTGCTTTTTATCCAGATTATAATTTTAGCAATTTTAATTTAAAAATTCTTTTATTTCAAATTAATACAGCACAGTTTATTATTAAAACCTATTCTGAAACTGTAGAATTCTTATGAACCGAACAAAAATTTAAGTTTGAGTCAGAATTACAAAGATTATTTATTTTTTTCGAAAAAATAAAGGCATTTATAACAACATTAATGTTCATATATAAACCAGAAAATATAAAAAATATTAAATATTTAAATACTAATATTTTTATAATATTTAATAATATTTTAAAAATATTTTTAATACTATTTTTATTATTGAGATTGTACTTCAAACTGAGATACTCAAGTGAACTGATTTGATTTGCTCAACTCTACAGTTATTCTACATTTTCGATCATAAACTATAACAACAATAACAATCATAAACTATAACAACAATAACAATCACAAACCATAACAATAACAATCACAAACTATAACAATATTAACAATCACAAACTATAACACTGTAAGAAACTGGCCTCTCGATGGCACACTAAACTTTCTTTTAAGTTCTTTCCTTTTCCTGAAGAGTAGTGGCAGTCGAGATTAAAAAGATGGATGGCGGTTTTCGATAAACATTCTGTCTATGTTAATATTTATCTGTTATCTGTCATGTGCATCTATAGCTTTGAATAAATTAATTTAAGATGCAGGCGACTCGTCTTTTGTGTGAAAGTTTAAAAGTCTTTACAACAGTAACGATTATAAACTATAACAATAACAATTATAAACTATAACATTTTTGATATAAAATCAAAAACTCAATATTTTCAAACATACTAACAATGTGACTAATTTGTCCATTTTGGAATTGAAAGTATTTGTAAGTTATAAATGTCAAAATTTTACCTGGTCTGACACATGCTTTTTTGAAAAAGAGTTAATGCATTCTGGGTCCCTCTCAAAAATATTAGTGCGAGGAGATACTACATCGTTACAGTTCACAACTCTATTTTGAAATTTTTCACATGATATCTGTACCTGGAAGAATTTCATTTGTATATTTCTTGTTAAAATATGGAATCATATAACACAAGAAGATAATAAATTATAATATATTGTTAGATGAAAAAAATTAAGCAAAAGTTGATAATTTAAAAAAACATAATTAAGACTAAATAGTAAAATAGCATAACAATGAGAAAATACATATTTTAAGACGCAAACTCATTGATACATATTTTAAGATATCAATGATTTAAGATATTTCAAAACGTAACCTTACTGATACCGTAACTAAACATATTTTAAGATATTAGTTACCATCTAAAAATATGTTTATTCAACATATTATCTGAAATATGTTTGCATAAGAACTTTGACCTCTTTTAAGAGGCATGTCTTTATGAAATGTCTGAAATATGCTGATTGCTATTTAATACTAATACTTCAGGAAAATTTTTTAAAAAAATAACTGAATTCTCCATTTTTTTTTTTAAATTATTGAAATTAGTCAAAATACTAAAAAATCATGTTTACTTAAAATAATTTAGGAATTATTTAAAAGAAATCTCCACATGATAAAAATTTCACTCAACTCACTTCATTTTCTGCTACTTCTTCAAAATCAAGCAATTTTAGATGTGGTAGTACTGAAATTATGTGAAGTCTGACATCAGATAAATCTTTAAGAGGATTTCCTTGAATACCAAGACTAATCAGGTTCTTAAACTGAGTCAAATAATTGATCTAAATAAAGAAGTAGAAATAACTTGAAATTTGCAAAATAATAATAATAATATATATTTTAAATAATATGAAATACGTCACAATATAGAAAATCAGAATTTTAACTAGGACATAGGGAGAAAAAATTATTATTGTTTTTAAAATAATATATATTTATGTAATTTAGAAAATAAAATTATTAATTATATTATATAACATTAATAGATCACATATATAATATCATTAACATATTTAAAATATTATTAACATATTTACATTGGTATAACTAATATATTTAGATATATTATACATTTATATTAAATATTGTAAACAATATTACACATCAAAACTGTAAAATAAGTTATTGTATAACTATAATGACAGTTAAAATTTTCACAATCCTTCGAGATCAGTAGGATTAGCCATCATTGTAAAAATACAAATTCTGCAGATTGTTTCAATAGAGTGTCATAAAAATGTGTAGTGACAATATACTTAAAAATATAAGTGCTAACGGTGGTTCATCTATAAAATCTGATTTTAGAAATTCTATCAGGAGGTGATCAAAGTAATTCTAAAAATTCGATTAAGAGGAAATCAACGCAATTCTAATTCAACAGTCAAATCTAAGAATATTTTAAGTATTTAATAAGAGAAAAGAAAAGAGATTACATTGCAATTTTTAGCTCAACAGCTACATTCAGTTCTTTTTTTTTTTTTCATTGCGCATGCGCGTCGTTACTTCTACGCAAGAAAATTGTTACTTGACGGGAACAATAAGAAAAATCCTTATATTTCTCAAAGTCAGAGATTAGGGCTCAATTCAAAGGATGAAAAAAATTTGACGTTTGTTACAAAATAATACAACATTTTAAATAATTTATGGCATTTTATTTGACCAACCTACAGAATTAGGTCTGTTACAAATATCAATATCTCAATGACATATACTTCAGGCTAACTTCATATGCATTCATTTTATAACTTTATTTAGTCAATCTTCGTATACATTCATATTCCGCCCTGCTGGTGAGGTGGTTTTCGTCTTTGTCAGCTACAGTTTGTACTGCAGTTTGATTAAGACTGGGTTTCTAATTTGACCGCAGTTCCTTTGATCACAATGATCCTAAGTCAACTCTAATGTAATGTCCTTGCTGGTTTTAGAACCAGAAAAGTCTACATATATTGGGCAGTTGGGGAGCAAGGTATGGAGATTGGGTCTACTACTATTATCTGCTTTCTGACCTAAATTGTGGTAGCACAATGTGCACACACAAAAGTATTTTCTTTGGATCTTCATTCAAGATCAATCCTAGATCCTCATGATCGATGTAGATCCTTGGCGATGTTGACAATAATTTCATATACATACATTCATATATAGTTTCATATACATACATTCTATATAATTTGTTACACATGGTACTAGGTACATCATCAAAACTAAATTTCTCATCCAGTACCTATTAGATTGGAGGGCAATTTGTATTTGTGTGGGAATAGTAAATTACACAATTTTAAAAAATAATAAATAAAAGCGTTACAAAAATGTCCTGATTTTTTGTTTTTTTGATAATCGAAATTCTACTGAATTTTCTTAAAGCAAATTATTCCAAATACCACCTCTTTTGTTTCAACAGATAATATGCATTTGAAGTGGTAGTGAAATAATAATTAAGGTACACATATCTTTTACTAAAATTTCCCTAGTAATTATAAACATTATAACAAATTTAAGTACATAAGTGGGTGATATTTAAACATCAAGGTGGGCAAAATTATTTTATATTAGTTTCATTCAACTAATAACCAAATATTGAAGTTTAAATTCAACTTATGTTACTTATCTGTAACAAAAAATTTATACAAATTATAAATCAATACTAAAAGGAATCTGCATCAAACTAGCAGCTATGCACAATGGAATAAGTTTTTAATAGGTAGTGATTTAGAGAAAATTGAAAGTTAGGTTTATTTTAAAATTAGAAAAGCATGACAATTAAGAGATTATTTGAGTGAATGCTTGAGTGAAAATTTATAAAGAATAAGTTTTGTAAATAAAAAAAGGTTAATAACAAGAGAGATAGGCATATTCTTTAAACATGTTTTCCTTTATAAAAAAATATATAAGATTTTTAATACTTAAACATTAACAAAAATTATCTGTTATTAACACTAAATAAACCTATAAAACAAGCAAATAATGTATTACTCTAATAGTTATAGAATAATAAACATAATATAAAATACCACAGAACAAATAACATGGGAAAGCTTAAAACAGCAAGCAATATTTAAAATATCATCCTGCGAGAGATTTCTGTGACCGAAGTGTCGAAAATTAAGATACTTTAAAATCTAATTTAAAGAAATGATACATACATTGTCAAAAGATTTTAGGTTGTTGTATCTAACTAAAAATGTCTCTAATTTTTTCAATGATTCCATATTTTGGAGAATTTCTATTTTATTGAAAGATAAATTCAGAAATTTCAGACAAATTAAATCATTGAATCCTTTTATAAGCTTGATGGCATTGAAAGACAAATCTAAAAGAAAATGAAGACACAAAACTGAAAGTAAATTGTAAATTAAAACTAATATTTTAAAAGAGTAAAAACAGTATGTTTAATTTATTGGTGAAATTATAGCCATGCTTTTTACATGCAATTAATTCGTAATTATTTTTTGGAGAAAATTTTTAAATTTTCTCTCTCTATATATATATATAAAAAAAAATACAATGCAATTTAGATAAACGACAAATTTTTAACTTGTATATAAAACGAAACCACAACAACTTAAACATATTCACAACGGTTATAAATTGCAATGCATATTCATGATTATTGAAAAAATATAGCAATCATTATTAATGATAAATTTTACATCATTAACTAAAAATAGAGATTTCAGCAAAGTTAACCATGAATGTTTACATTATTTTTCAATATTTCAGTTTCAAGTATTTTCATCAATAATAATACAATTCATTAACATACTGATTTATAATCAAACATAGTTGTTGAAATGTTAACATAGACTGCGCGGTGCAAAAAAATACGATAACACTTTAAAAACTTTTGATCCAATCAATGTAATTTTGTATACTAGGACTTGATCTTTAAGGCCCTGACTTTAACTATGCAAATTAATTTACAGAGTCAATAAAGTTACAAAATTGACCCTCAAAATCTAGAAAATATGGTTCCAGTAATTTAGGCTGGAGAGAGATCAAATGTTTGCGCCCTGTAATGATATCTTCTTTTTGCATATTTTGTCATATCTCTAACATAACAAAGAATCTCAAAAAGTTTCAGCAAGCAATTTTTAAATTCATTTATCCAACGGTAGCAATTTCATGTGAAAAATTTATTTTTACACTCCAAATTACTAATGATCGAAACATTTTTGACTTGTAATGTACTCAAAATTTTGCAATATGTTAAAACAATGTAATTTTGAATGAAATCACCCAAATTTTTAAGAGAATCCTTTGAATAGTTCTAGAGGAATAAAAAATTAGAGATATATAAAAGTTAGTATAAAGATATAAAAATACATAGAAAAAGGATAATAATATAAATCAAATTAGGGCTATCCACTATTTTTTGAGGGTAAAGAATTCTAATTGGTAGAAAAATACATGTTTATTCAAAGAAAGTATATTTTATTATTTAATTTCTTAACATTAAACATTGAAAGCATTTATTAATTAGCATAACTAGGGCAAGGTTCTAAACCCAATAGGAATGAGCCCTAGTACATAAAAATAGAATCATTAGATCAAAAGCTATCAATGTGTTTTCTTTTTTTGTACACTCTACTTATAAATGTATACTGTAAATTTCTGTAAACAAATAAAAAAGTATAAATGGTTTGATCATAACTACTGACTTTTATTTCTTAATAATTTAAGGAATTTTCAAGAATTGTAACTTGAAAAAAAAAATACAATTTCTTAAAAAAAAAATTTGAAAAATATTTTTATTGATTAAAATATTTATGTAAACAAGGAAGATGACAAAGGAAAGGTTGATGACAAAGATGTAGATGACAAAGGAAAGGTTCAACCAAACTAAATTTGGAATATTTAAATAATATAACAGTACAAAATACATTATAAAAGAAGTATAGATTAGACACGACTAAAAAAATATGTCAGTAAGATATCGCATTTAAACTATCACAAATCTCACTAAGAGTGATTAAACATAATGCGATACACTTCATTATAAATTACTTTCTTAGAAGTTATTATTTTATAGTAAGTAGTAAAATAGCTTAGTTTCAATAGCAACACAAATATTAATATACTTTATGAATATAATAAAAATATATATGGTGCTTCAAAACAGTTTATAATTTAATAATTGAGTATGCATATATATATATATAATACCTAAAAACTGTAAATTTTCTACAAATTTCAAATTTAAAATTTCTTTAATAAGAGATTAAATTTTTTAATGTATCCTGAAATTAAAAAAAATAACTTTTGATTTGTTGTGAAATATTATTTACTTTCATATGATTTAAAAGAATTACTTGGTGCAGATAATTACATTATAATTTAAAGGTTAATTAAGTAAATAAATTAATTCATACCTAAAAACTGTAAATTTACTAAAAATTCCAAACACTCAATTTCTTCAATAAAATTGTCAGACAATTGAAGCTTTGTAACAAGAGGAAACTTCCAGACATTCCCGATATTCAATAAATCTGAAATAGATACACAATTTATTACAAAATTCTGTAACACAATTTAAATTCATGGGTTTCTTAATTTTAAAAAATTATCAATAATTATTGTAACAAAAGGACTACAGATTAGACTACCAATAAGTATAAATTTTTTTGGTATCAGTTGCAAACTGATGCTGATATAACTGAGCATGTTATAAAAACCTGATACTTTTAGTATAAGATACATATAAGTCTTAATTTAAAGAGGGAAGGGAAAATAAAAAAGTTAAATTCCATTGTTTTTTAATGCAATTCAGGGCAGTTAATTTATACCGAATGCAAAATCACAAATATTTTATTAAAAAGATATTTGGCATGCTTTTATTATTATTGCTATTTTCAATGGAGTTAATCTTAACATATCTACAGACTCACATTGGGGATAACTATAGCAAATTCATTACCTAATTACGCTTAAGAAAAAAAAAGTGAATGAAAAACTGATCAAAGCATTTTTTTTGCTTATTTACGTCTTAATAATTAAATCTTATTTCAAAAGAATCTAAATAAAATACTTGGTTACTATATAAGAAAATATTTTTGGAATCAAAAAACTATTTAATAAAAAAAAAGGCTTTCATTTTCAGAATTTAATATTTAAAGCATAACAAACTTTTTGTAATTTTTTAAAAGAGTGATTTGTGATTTTAGAAAAAAGTAAAGTTCATGTAAAAATTATAGTCAAATTTTTTTTAAAAAATAAAAATAATTAATTTTGTGGAAGATAAGCATTTGGGGAAACTCTTTTATAATTTTACAAGTTGAAAAATAAAAAAATCAATTTGACTTAAGCAACAGAAAAGAATAGTGATATAGAATTTCATTTTTATGAATTATGATAGCCAGCGAAGAAACAAAATCAAATATGTATTGGTATTTAAATATAAAGTTCCTTGAATCAGTTCCAAAAAACAGCTAACTAGGGACTGTTTTTCATAAACAAATGAATTGGCATATTTTATGAATCAGCAAATGAACACAAGTTGATACAAGTCTGCAAATGAAAACAACTGTTCTTTTCTAACTGATATGAGTAGAACTGCTAGTTGCAAGTGTAATATTTGGATGTTATTTGGATTTGCTCTGTCTAAATGAATATGGGTGTGTATTCGGTTACAAAGTTCAAAATGGTATTGTCATCCCGATGATAAATTTATAAAATGATAAATTTATAAATTGATAATTTATAAGATGCTAAATTTAAAAATTATTCATTTTTTTACAAGTTTTAATAGTTTTACTTCTTTAGAAGTTGCAAATGAATTGATACAAAATGTATTCGTTAATTTCAAGAAGTACCAGGTACTTTGAAATATTAAATACAAAATATCAGGTACATAATATAGATTCATCTATATAAGATTTATGATCAAAACAAACACCTATATGATGATTGTTGAGATACAACTACACACGCATTATGACTCTCGCTGAGATTTTTAAATTTTGTTTAGCTCAATATTTAGTTTTGACTCAACATAGTTAAAGACTTGAATGTTAATATACATTACAAGTGTCTGTCTAAATTTTTCTGAGAGGTACCTATTTTGTGAAAATTTAGACATAATTTGTGAAAATTAAAAATTATATTACAAAAATCAGAAAAAATATGGATTTATCGTTTCTTACGAGACTCAAAAATAAAATATTAAGAAAAAGCATTTTGCAATACTACTGTTCCTGAAATTGAATTTGTGAAGGTACCTCTAAACGGTAGTAAATTTGGCTTGGACAGACCCCTGATTACCTTTATACAGGGTTGGGTCTTTGCCGTCAAAAACTGGTTTTTGTCAGGACAGTGGTAAAAACAGTGTTTTTACCAGTAAAAACTGTCAAAAACCTACTGTTTTCTTAAATTTATGGCATATAGCGGACAATATATTATTTTCACATAATTTCCCTTATAAATGAATGTTGTAAATGATTGCTATTGATTTTGCAACTATATACATGCATTCTTATAGAAGGATATACATTCATACAGTAATATTGTAATATGCTTATCAGGGTTGGAGTTTTTGCCGCCAAAAAGGGGTTTTTGCCAGGACAGTGGCAAAAACCTGGTAAAAACCGGCAAAAACTGGTAAAAACCGGCAAAAACCAAATTATCTAAATTGCTGATTAAATATTATTACAAAATACTTGAAACAAATTTAAATCAATCATAAGGAGGTAATTGTTCTC